TGCAACCAACACAGTTCTGGACTAACCTTGTAGCGTCGGTTGCTATGTCAAACCGACATAGCTTATTCTAGTCACCGGACAGGTGTACTTATTCATTCTTGTTGAGCCACATTTTGATCTTATTATATATTCCCTTGTCGATATAGACAATATTGTTATGTTAGCGTATGTGTGTACATTTCCTATCTTACTCATCACATGTCTGTAACTTATTTTTGCGTGACTATAAATATCGATTCATGCTTGGTTAAACCAAGTTGGCTCACAAGCGTTCTTCAATCCATTTTACTCCTCTCTCTCTCCTCTTCGCTTCCATCGCTCCGCCTCCCTAATTATCTGTTTAGATCAACGATTGTATGAAATATACACATTTAAACTTCATTCTTGTATTTGACTTATTTAATCCCTTTATTCACTAACGTGATTCAAGTTGATGATTATATACGACTATGGACGGGATGTATATTTCGATAGCAATCATCCTATGATTTAAATTGAGTAAGATAATGGGTCACTAAAACCTTTTCAGTTACTGTCATATGCTAATTCATGCTTTTGATATCTGGCTCTGGGCGGCTGTTTGGAAATACCTGTAGCTTTTTAATGATAGTATTGATTATTCTCTAAGATTCAGTCCCGTACAACATAAATGCTTTAAATTTACTGCTGAATGGTTTAACTTTTGTCTGAGGTGATGATTCTCTTAAGTTCCAGATATTTTCCCATTGCATAAATCTTGTATTTTACTACCAGTTTCATGTGTTCACATATACACCAAATCCTTCTTGCTTCCTAAGTACGTCATGACTACTAACTTTTCCAAAGATTTACTATCATGTATGCTTTGGTTGATGTGCACGGAGTTTTACTACTGGATGTTGCTTAGGTCTTAATGAAAAGATGGAAACACATCCATTTTCAAAATGTTGCACAAAAATTAGGAAATCGTTTTCTCATTTCTGATTGGCTCATCTTGATATTCTAGTTTTACCCTATAAATCAATTACAAAACCAAATTGTTCTAATCATGAAATCTATTGGCATTTATAAAGTTTAGTGTTTTGTTTGTTTGTCTGTCTGTTTTTTCTTTGGTATTTTATCTATTTGACCATGTGATATCAGTCTAAATTTCAAGGAATTTGACCTTCGAATGTTTTGGTTGATGACTTCAATCTATAGAATGTTCTTTGACCTATCGGTTGTATGAAGATTATCGTAAAGAAAGTCTGAGAACTCAATGTTTGTATGGATTAGGGGATATTTCTTGTTATAACTTTATTTCATTCATAATTTGATACTTACTTTAATATCAGAAAGGGTTTTGTGGAGATTGTAGTAATTTCAATAGTTGAGATTATCTAACGATGTCAATGTCTAACTTCAACTAAACCACGATATTGAGCGATTCATCCATCATTATCTTCACTGAGTCACTATTATATCATAACATATCTGGTTGAAATCCACTGGTCACTGCTTCTCAATAGAACTGTAGGAAATACCTCTTGAAGTCAGTCACTATTGAACATATGTTGATTAGTATCAGAAGGGGTTTTGTGGAAATGTATATCCTGGAGTTCTAGTAAGAAGCAGTGACCAATGGAGTTCAACAGGATCTGTTGTGAGATAGTAACTCACTGATGACAATGGTGGATGTGTCGCTCAATTTCGTGGATTAGTTGAAGTTAGACATAAACATCGTTGGAATGCCAGTCAGCTCACTGGTCTAGTGGTTAAGCGTTGGCGCGTGCGACTGATAGGTCCTGGGTTGGAATCGCGCGAGGTATGGTCGTGGATGCGCACTGGTGACGAGTCCCACAATAGTATGATTTCAGGTTTCCTGTGGTGGTCTAGCTTCAATTGACTCATGATCTCATCTATTGAACTTACTTACTTTACTTACAACTTTCATTCCACGTGAAGGAACATAGGCCACTCAACATTATTCTCCATCCAATTTTGTCCTGGATAATCCTTTCAGTTCTTTACAGTAGTTATTCATCCTTTTCATCTATGCTTCCATTTCCCAACCCAGTGTGTTCTTTGGCTTTCCTTTTTTCCACTTCCCTTCAGGATTCTAAGTTATGGATTGCCTCATGATGCAGTTTGATGGTTTTCGAAATATATGTCCTAACCACTTCCAACGTTATTTCCTTCTCAGTCGGAACCTGGTTTGTTATCTTCCCTAGTAGGCTGTTGCTGATGCTTTCCAGTCAATGGACATTGAGTATCTTCTGTAGACAACTATTTATAAATACTTGTACTTTTTCGACGAAATGATTTTATCACGATCCAAGATTGACCCAAATGAGGTTACTCAAGGTCTTGGTCCATATGCTCAATGTGTACTTTTTTGATGATGGTTGTGGTATTTCTCCAAGTTTCAGCTTCATACAGTAGAACTGTCTTGATATTCATGTAAAACACCATGTATAAAACTGATTATTTAGGGGGATTTATGAAAATGCCTACAAAAATAATGAGTGAATACTGTGTCTGTAGTTGCTAGGAGAAAAAAATAATAAAACACGTAAAAAAAGTATTTTAATCGTGAGAACAATATGTCAGTTTTACTACAGATTGTTTACTATCCATTGGGAAATGTAAAGTGATAAAGTGTTTTGGGAACTTTTGTTTTTGTATACTCATTAAAGTAAAATATGCATGAGAAACTCAATTCAATTTAATTCTGTGTATAGTCGAGATAAACTATAAAAACCAGCTTGGTATTGTTTGGCTTGTATCTTCCCATTGAGGTTTAAGACTGCAATTGATCAGTCTGTTATTGGCATATGTGCATACTGTGCGTATGCCTCGATATTGCCTCAATCCACAAGCTTTTTGTAAGCGATGATGAGTCCCAGAGTGAACATCAACTCTGACATGCAGGTACATCCAGCTGACTAGTCCCAAATAGGACGAAACGCACGTCCTGGATTCCAATACTAGCCATTATCCATCATTGTTTATAAAAAAGAGCGCCTCAATATTCAGTGTTGTATTCAGAATGTATTTCTATTTATTAGATAGTTAAGGTCATAATAACCAAAATCACTTGAATGGTAATATGGTGTGTACTACTAATGTCAATAGATATAAGTAGTATGTATCATCAATCGATAGTGGAATGTCAGGAGGCAGAAGATTAAGAGGATCGAATAGAATAGAACGAAAACAATGAATGATCAGTGTGGAAATGAAACAACAATGAAGTTTGAGACATTTTGCAAATGGACTATTTACTGTACAGATCTCAGATGTTACTAAGATTGTGTTCAAATGAATCTGATTCTTCCTACTTCAGTCCTCGTGCACTAGAGACGTAGCCATAGAAATACTGTAGTGAACAGAACACCAGTAGGGACAGTCGAATGTATTTAACACAAAATTACAGGACTTTTTAATAAAATCTAACAATCAAATAGTAAATACGTAATTTTCAAAATGTCCATCAATTGTCTCAAAATAACTCAGACTTCATTGTTCTTGCATTTTCATACAAATTGCATTCTGTTTCCATTCTTTAGTGTTCGATCCTCTTGTTTCTCTGCTGCCAGACCTTCTGTTCACGACTAACATCATATACTACTTATGTCAATATAAGTAGCACACACCACAATACTATTTATTAAGTTACGTTTCGTCCCATAATCTTGGTTTTATAGATTGTATAACTGTTGTTGTAATTCAGAATACAAATAAATGGAAACAATATTAGATTATTATAACCAGCAATCGTGAAATGACATTTGAATATGCTTTCAAATTCACCTCAGTCATCACTCTTATGAATTGCATGATTGTGAGTTGAGTTTAGAATATGTGAATGAATAGGAAATTTCGTAGATAGGAAGATGAGATCTAACATGACTAGATCTATGGGATGACTAATAGCGGAAGACATTTCAAAAATGATAAATCGAGCCTGAATGATAAGATAGAGAAGCCATATCTCGATAGCAGTAACTAAGTGCAAACGTTATCTTGATGTGTGCTGTTATTATTTAGATAAATTTTTATATCCCGATAAGAATAAGGAATGGTAACTTTTGGGACCCATTTATGGACCAATACTGTGGTTATATTTTAATCAAGTAGTTGTTATGTAACTAAACTATTCATATTCATGTCCCTGTTATTATGAGTTTTATTTTGACCCATAAACTATTATTATACGTCTTACCATTCATGAGTTATGGCCTGTCTATTAATTACTATCTCCCTCATTCATAGCCACATTTGGCTAATTCTTGTACAAATGTTATTGCATATTTTATTGGTACGTCAACGTCTGTCTGGTTGATATATAAACCGAGTATGTTTGAAATACATGAATCATATTGCAGAGGCTGAGATCGGTGTTCTGGACTTAACTGGTTGGGCTAGACAGGATGCTACACCAATTAGGACTCTAGACTGCTCGCACGTGTTTCATGCGTTACTGGTTCGATCGGTAATTCGCTACTCTCTGATTGGCGGTATCGTTGTGTTATACAATAAACAGGGCACATAAGCTCACAAGTTATAACATAAATAATCTCTAAATAAGCTCGAATCTTTTCAAGATTATTCATTTCTTCACTAAAATCACAAATTCATGACATTCTAGTCAAACAAATAACCTTTAGGTAGGTATCATCAATGGAGTTAGATGACGGATTAAGTAGACTTACTGGAGAGCTGTAAACCACTGTGTATCAACTTAGTTATTCAGTACATAAGACTCCTGATGATCCTGAGTTTGATTTCTGAAGGAATCGTGTCTTGTCTTTTAAGTCGAAATTGTGGTGCTTTACTGAAGCTGTACTATTTAAAGCTTCTGTGATCTTGGTTCTTACTATTGAGCTTTATTCAACTAGTCTACATTACGTAATCTATTCTGTTTTCATCGCCATTCTGTAATACGAAATCGATATTGTAAACGAATGTTTAGATAAAGATAGAAATGAGTATCATCTTATTCATTTCATGAAGTGTACATTTTCCCTTTTTATTTACAGTCATATATGCAGTAAATACAATGGACAACCGGTATGTTGTCCAGGTTGGAGAAATGGTATTGGAGCACCATGTATAATACGTGAGTTTATTTACTTTATCGTTTTCTTATTCAAAATAAAAAAAAGTGTGAATGAACATTACTTATCTGATCAGAATGAAAATTAGTGAAGATTGTAGTAATTTTAATAGTTGAATTCATGAGTCGATCTAAGCTAGATCACCATGAAACACTTGGAAACGCTGGACAGCTGTTTCGTATTAGATCCATTCTGATAATGATCATCATGTGCTCAGCAGTGACTAACTTCATGATGGATTTCATGAAGTTCTAGAAGAGAAGCCTTAACCAGAGGAGTCCAATCCGTGCCGGTTATAGACAGTTATTCACTTCAAACACTAGATAAATGGTTGTGTAAGATCATGGATCAATTGAAGTTAGATATTAACACCGTTGGATGCTGGCTCAGTGGTCTAGAGGTTGAGTGTTCGCACATGAAACTCAAGATCCTAGGTTTGAGTCACGCGTGCGGTACCATAAATATGTGCAATGATTGAGGAGTCCCATACAAGAACGGAATGAACGTCCAGTACTTCCAGGTTTTCACTAATGGTCTAACGTTTTTTTATTCACGGATTGAACTAATAAAAATAATTCAAAGTCATCATATTTATCTGAAGATTTCAAAAACTTAAGTTGGGTTATAAGTTCGTGGCTGATCGGTAGTCCTTAACGTCTGTCAGTTTGTAATTAACCGATTATTAAATGAAATCAATATCTCGTGAATAGCCAGTGTATAAATCTACGAACTCAATGAATAAAAATCTACCTTTTAAAATCATGAACCAGTCTAATTTAGGAAACTCATGAGAACCTTTAAACACTGGAGGAACATTTCATGTCAGTATTAGACTCCTTACCAATGTGCACTCTCAACTTCTCATTCAAGAATCAGACACAGGATCTTTGGTCTTATCTACGGACATTTAACCTCCAGACTATCGAACTTGCATTAACGAAGTTAATCAAAGTTTATTCAATTTACAATACTGAACGATCATTTTCCTTTCTCTTTAGTGGATAAATGTTTCACATTCAACATAATTCAGCTCCACTAGTCATACGTTCTCAAAAGAACTCACGAGAATAGGATAATTTTCAGTATGGGGTAGTGAAGATTGTTGAATTTTATTAAAATTGTAAACTAACCTTAGTTCAAATTCACTTGGCGTTGTTTTTATTTATATCTTCCCATTGTTATTTAGGGTTGCAATTGATCAGTCTCATGTTGGCATATGTGTATCCTGTGCGGATTGCCTCGACATAGTCTTAATTCACTGGCTTTTTAAGCAAAAATGGATAGCGGTTAGCAAGTGGAATCCAGTTTGACGCGGATTTCATCCTAGTTGGGACTCGTCAGTTGGATGTGCCTTCATCCCACAGTTAATGTTCACTTCAGGACTCGGACCCAATACCGTTCAATAAAAACGCCATTGCGTTATCCACTTAGCTACTGAGTCGTAATAGCCATTTGTTTGTGCAATGGGATGAAGTTTAAATTCACTTGGTCTTGTTTTATTTCTATCTTGCCATTGTTATTTGAAGCAAACGATACTGAGTTCGAGTCCTGGTGTGGATATCAATTCTGGGATGCAGTTACATCCAGCTGATGAGTCTGAAATAGGACGAAACGCGATTCAAACTGGATTCCACTGCTGTTTTATTGTCCATCTTTACTAATATTCTCTCACTTTTAATGTATTAAGATGAAATCAAGCTAATCTAATATAAGACACAAGTTGTCTAATTGAAATTTATTGCTGAAAAAGTAAATTCAACTTTTTTCTTCCACCTATGGAATTGATATTAACAAGTAGATTTACATAATTGTCTAATATGTAAATCATAAATTGGAAAACATGAATTTTATAAACGAATTATGGTAAAAACATGATACCCTTGTATTCTACTAACAAACAGCATTATATGAATGGAGAAAATGCAGAAGAATAGAAACATGTTGCTTAAGACGTTTCTTTATAGCTTTAATAAGAAATCGACCAATATTTATATTGTGATTAAAGGAGGATCAATGCAGGACTCATAGTTCATCATAGTTTGAGCGCCTAAATGTTCTGAAATGAATAGAGGGTGGGGAAAGTTAGCTCTAACTCTCGAAATGATCTCATATGGCCACGCATATACAGCCACTAACAGGGAAGTCCTAATCACTGAATTACCACGACATTACTGTTGTTTACAAAATTAAGAGGATGAAAAGCGAATGTCTGGTACTTTAACTGGGTTGGTGGATATGAAGGATTTATCTAGGGGAGTTTAAAAACCTTGATTCCTAACCAATGGTGCATATTGGATTCAAGATTCTAAGGAAACAAATTTCGTATGAATCTATTGCTGATCACCAACTACCATAGGTGACGTTACTCTACTGTCTTGTGGATCAGATCGTTTAGGTTAAAGGTTCCGTGTGTGCCTCCCTAAGAAAACCACGTGGTTCGGTCTGGGCACCCGAGTAATAACACAGCCCACACACAAATTAATTGACTTGTGTGGTTCATATGTATTCGGTGCCTCTGATTAATAGAATCCAGTCAGCACTAAACGATCAGATGCATATAACATTGGTCATTACTCAGTAATAAATTATAAACAAATATCTTGGTCCTACAGAAGGATAGTCGTGAATAGAATAGTGTAATGGTAACAACTTAAATTGTGAAGTTGGAGAAAATGTTTCTGAATCCTAATGGAAGTACTGTAATGAACAGTTGCTAAACTTTGAGGTAATATAAACTGTTAGCTAGATCATAAGCATAGATGGAAAGTGGTTAGCAGTGGAATCCAGTTTGACGCGCGTCTCGTCCTGTTTGAGACTCGTCAGCCGGATGTACCTGCATGTCAGAGTTGATGTTCACTCTGGGACTCGAACTCAGTACCGTTCGCTTCAAACGCCATCGCGTTATCCACTTAGCTACTGAGTCCTGATTACCACTGCTAGCCACTATCTATCTTTGCTTATAATGCTTGTAAATTAAGGCAATATCGAGGCATACGCACAGTACGCACATATGCCAATAAGAGACTGATCAATTTCAGTCCTAAAAACATCAATGGGAAGATTCATGTAAAACAATATCAAATGTTAGCTAGATGTCTTGCTCTAATTTCGTTGAGGACGTTAGATCCCCAGAACTCATTTAAAAAAGGCCCTAATTTTATACTGAAAATTTGAATTTTATGTTTTCGCACAAAGAGACATTTTGTTGACCTACAGCTTACATTTGCCACTCGGAGCTTTATTTATTTATTTATTTTAACACATAGATATTGGTAAAAGGAGGCACCAAATACATATGCGCCACACAAATCTCATTTGATATGAGTGAGGGCTGTGATACTGCCTGCGTACCCAAACCGAACCACGCGGTTTTCTTAAGGGGTCACATCCGGAGCCTTCGACCTGAAGGTCTCATCCACAAGGCAGTAGAGCATCGTAAGGAAATGCAGTCCTATGGTAGCCGGTGACCAACTATTGATTTATACGCCATTAGTTCCTTCAGAATACTGGAGCGCATGTGCACCATTGGTTTGGAATCAGGGTTTTCCAAATAACTCCCCTAGATGGGCTCTCCATGTCCATCAACCCGGTTAGAGTGCCGGACATTCGCTTTTCGTCCTCACAATTTTGTAAACAACACCCCGCCACGAGATGGCAATGGGTAGGACTTCCCTGGCAGAAGTTATATACGCGTGGCCATGTGAGAGCTTTTCGAGAGGGAGAGAGGACTCTCTCCACTCTCGGCCGTACCGGGGCATTTAAAGGGGCAGTAAATCGGATGTCACTGCCAGGAACTCCTTGACTGTCATTAGTTGATGGATTTTTTTTACGCTATTTTGAGTCTCTCCCAAGGGCGGTACTATCATTGTATAAATAAGCTTGATTTGTGTACTTAGTGACCTCGTATTTTCTGGATGCTTGTAGAATATATTCTCTACGCCTCATCAGGACTTCTAGATCTAATTAACAGGGCCGGAGAAAACAGATTAGAATAGACTATCGTGCCACTGTATCTTTCACATTCCTTCCGTTTACCGAGTAAGGTGAACTCGTAATAGCATTCAAGCATATCAGATTTTCCATAATCCTTCAGTTGACGTTAGTTGGTTATAAAACTTAAGATCAGAATGAAAAAACTTCACAAACCATCTATTTCAATAAGTAAAATTTCTTAAAACCAAAATTTTGATTATAAGTCATTCACCATTAATTTATATCAATAGCTTATAACGATGATTTTTCGGTATGAAGTAGGATAATGACTGATTACTTCTCACTGACCGATGAAATCCTTTGATTAACGTGTGATTCGATTGTCAATTGTGTAGTTTACACGAAATTACTCCACCGTGCACCATTGTCTTCAGTGAGTTGATATCTCACAACAGATTTGGTTGAACTCCACTGGTCACAGCTTCTTACTAGAACTCCAGGAAATACCTCTTGAAGTCAGTCACTAATGAGCAGATGATTATTATCAGAAGAGGGTTTTGTGGAAATTTTAGTAATTTCAATAGTTGAATTCATGAGTTAGTTGACACTAGACCACCATGGAAAACCTAGAAGCAATGAACGGCCGTTTCGTCCTAGTATGGAACTCCTGGGTTCGAATCTCAGGAGGGCGGGGGCGGTATCATGGATGTGCACTGTTAAGGAGTTTCACAGTAGGACGAAACAGCCTCTCAATGCTTTCAGGTTTTCCATGATGGTCTAGCTTCAATTGACTCATGATTTCAACTATTAAAATTACTAAAATCTCCACAAAACTTTCTTCTGATAATTGTGTAGTTTTACAAGAGAACAAATAAAAACGTTGTTCAGTGCTTTCGCAAAAGTCCTATCAATTCTCACTAAACGATAATTTAGAGATGATATTTGAAATGGTGAGTACATCTCTAAAGGGTGTTCTATTAAGAGTTAATTCTATAGTCTTCGCTTGCTCTTTGTTTGTTATCTGTTTTGTCTTTCTACAGTCTACTAACCCGAAGATGCACTGACTATT